CCAAAAAACTGCTAAGCCACCAGCCGGCATTGAGATGCTCTTAATGATTTATTAGGTACACTCACACTCGATCTTTAAAAGTGTGAGGGTGTCCAATGGCAAACCCCTTGAATTCGTAACGTACAGACTGAACTTATATTCAGAGTTTTCTGTAGAAGACACTAAGCTGATGAGACATGCATTTTACTGGTTTGATTAATCATCCTTCCCGACCACTCGCCTCTTAACGTGATAATAAACAAATTTGTCATAGATATTGTCATAAGATATGACAAATTAGCGAAGTTGACCGAAGTTGGATTTAATCCCTGCTGAGCTGAAGGCGATAAAAATGTGCAGTTCTTCTAATTTGCGAAATTTGTTTGAAGTTTTAAAGTAAACAAGGAAAGCCTTGTAGTATACAAAATATGGCACATAGCTTTGTCCTGAATACTGAACGCCTATGGTAATTTTACTTTAGGTACAATACTGCCGAAACAGCTACACATTGGAAAAACGATTTTTTTTTTTTCATTTAAAATAGACCTTTCTTTTAATCCCCTTGAGTACGTACAAACAATAGCACATCAGCGAGGCCAGGTTGGGGTCGACATTTTCATACATTTGCTCTATTTTTGTCCACCCTGACCTCGACTTGGCGCCATTGTTTGTTGGAATGCGGGAAAGGTCTGTTGTCTTTATTCTAAACGATTCTCAGTTTGTTATATAGCGTGTCTGTAAGCCATTAGACGAGCAAAATACAACTAATGAGTAAAACTAACTGCGATACAACGTAAAGAATTGTTAAAGACTATCAGAATATTGAATACCTTTAATGGTTTTCAAAAAACGTAATTTGCAATGAAACTTCTCTCGGTACGAAATCGACGATCAGTTATTAATATAGGAAATTCAAACATTTGGCTGAACGAAATCAGAGCAGGATTGTTTTTGTGAATCGAACAAAGCGTCTAGAGATGAGTAACTTGTAATCCAGTTATGGTTAACCTTTTGTCTTGTGCTCCTGTTCTGTCGTTGACGAGAAAATTAGACAACGAGCCCAACCATGCAAAATTTGACAGTTATTGTGAAAAATAATGAACACATTAATTATGATTGTTATTCTTATTTTCTACAGGAGCTCGTCCAGCATGTTCCTCCAAACGTGTTTGGGAACTTTGCTCGTATTTCTCAAAACAGTCGAGGCTGCACCTAAACCCACTCCCACTGGGCAAGTCTCTCCTACCAGTTCTTCTCCAGGTAATTGAGCCAAGCTGATGAAGCTGTTTTTGATCGGTTTGATAACGATGGTTTTGTGACACTCACATTGCTATGCGAAAGCAGCAAAATAGTTGGAAAATCTATGGCTGGGCATTAAATTCCCAGGGGAAGGAGCAAGTTTGCTGGAGCCCTGCCGCTCAACTATGCAAATCTTCTATGCAAATTTTCAGATCAAACCAAATCATTTCAGACCTAGGTGTCCATAAAACCATACCAGAACCGTGCCTATTTTCCTGCCAAAATTTGTAGAATACAAAAATTCCCTTCGGGATGGCACATACCTATGTAGCGTATATAGTGAGGTACCTATAGCCCCGGAGCCCAAATTCTCTACATGTTAGAGCATAAATTATTCACGTCCCATAGCCAAAAATGGGGAATATCCAAAGATATATAAAGCCTTGTCTCCTAGCTTTTTAATTTGTTTTATGTGTACAAATGTATTGGTTTAATCAAATTAAGTAGTAAGGGCTCACCCTTGCAATGAAATGTAAGATGACGGCCAATTAACTATTGCAGCGTCATATTCAAGTTGGAAGATTGGGAAAAAATAATCTTTATGAGTAAAGATTCACCCAAGGATGATGAAAATGAAAACTGACAAAAGAAGACTGCTTGTGTAAAATATTTAAAAGTTAGTAAACAAGCCTGGACTTTAGTTCTTAGATATTATCTGTTCTCTCGAAAAACCGTTTATTTTTAGGACAGATAATTACCTCGAACAAATACCTGTACATATCTCGTCCCCAACAAAAAGATGATAACTTGTCTGTTAGTTATAAGAACTAACCAACAATCTGCGCACTTTCCTCCACAGACTCTCAAGTTGAGTTGTTTTTAGAGAAGGAACTGCAAAAGATTAACAAATACCGTCTGATGCACGCCGCTACCCCTCTGCAGCTGTCACTTGACCTGACCAATAAAGCAGAGTTATGGGCCACGCAGCTGGCCAATGAAGACAAAGAAAAAATTGACGTCAACTCCAAATATGGCCAAAACATTTTTTCGACCAAGGAAACCAATGATGCTGTTACTAAAAGTGTACAGTCGTGGTATAATGCAATTAGATTTTACGATTTTCACAGCGCGAAGGGATCGCTCAAGTCCGCTTATTTTACGCAGTTGGTATGGGCTGGGTCAAAGGAAATTGGAGTTGGAAAGGCGAAAAGTGCAAGCGGGAAAACCTACATCGTGGCCTTGTTTGATCCCCCTGGTAATAATGGAAACTATCTGCGCAATGTGCTTCCCGTTACAGGTAGGGAAAGCTGTGGCACTAAAATGAAAATAAGTTTAAATCTAATAGCGATGTTTAATATAGCAAAATAAGCTAAAAAGAGTCTTGAGCCTTTTAAACCTTGCAATGCTTAGTTCTTGTCGCTGTCTTATTGGTGGAGTAATGTCCTGGAAATGATATGTTGTCCTACAGAAGTAATATACAATATACCATGGCAATCTACCATGACTTTCGCCTGGCTACGTAACATGTGTTAAACACAAGATTTCGAACATTCCTGTTCTGCAGCGTTAGAATTAATTAAGGAGACGAAATCGCAAAACTTTTGGATTCGATTTGCAAAAGTCGAATCATTTCATGCATTCTCTCTGTGTTTCTCACTTGTGGCCATCTTTTATAGCCCTTATTCTACATTTTACTTATTATAGCAAAGGAATTTAACCCAGAGCGTTCATTAATTATTAGGAAGCAGAAGCTTAGGTAAGGACTCTAGATGGTAAAAATGCTTCAGCCATAACTGTGCTTCACTCGCCCATTTTTTTTGTACATAACATAACATAACATAAAAACTTTATTAACGTGTCTTTATGTCTAGCCGATGGGAAAAAAAAAACCTGTCCTAACCAAAAGGCGGCGAGGAGACCTTCAAAAAACCTCCAGGCTTATAGCGGAGGCCACCTAAGTTGTTAATGTTAAGTAAATAGTAAATTTTGCTTGCGCGAAACTCCGAGAATCACGCCACAGCTGAAAAAGAATTTTCACAGCGAGAAAGCACACTTTTGTCTAAACAGAGTTTTGTGTCTAACAAATGTATGAAAAGCGACTGTTAAGTTGTGCGGCTCTTTCCGAGGACAAGGGCGCTTCCTCACTTTTCCTAAACTACGACGTGAGGGTAAGCAGCGTTTTCCTTCTGACTCAAAGTCGGCAAAATTTCACCATTTACGTCCTTAAACAAGGACGGAGATATTTTGCTGAAAATTTTGTGTACAACTATTGTCAGAAGTAAAGTTGCTGTAGGTAATTCCCCCAGGTAAACAGATAAGTGTGTTAGATGTGGCAAGTTTTGACACCCAATAGCATATGATTCTTGTGTTACACCAGAATAAAAATTACTCAGACGAACTGACAGAATAGAGGTCAGTAGCATCGGATAGCCATAACTATGAAGGTCATCTGTGCAATACTTCTAACTGAACGGGTACTAAATCAATCGCCAAGGCTTTGCGGTACCTTGGATATACGGTGCTTGACTGGAAGGGTAAGCTTGCAACTTTGATGATCAGTGGTTCGATGCTGAATAGAGGTCGGAAAGAAT